GCAACAAATTCACTATGGGAGGTATGAAAGAAATAGCATTATTATTACCATGATTATTCGTTGGTATCAGTTTTTTTAATTGAATTATTGGTTTTTAACAGAAACAAATAAAGCTCCGATCGTTAATTTGGCGCTTGGTGTATCAGGTGATGATAAATCTCGATTTACGTTGATGATGGTAACGTTTTTAATTATGTAAAAAAAAAAAATTACACCGTATTTGCTGTATACTAACGCTTCTTGTCATAGGTTGATCCCGATGCACCAAGTCGCAAAGATCCAGTTAAAGGAGAATGGCGCCATTGGATCGTTGGAAACATTCCATGTAATCACTCTGTTGCATTTTAAATGCTTTACATATTATCATGTTTATTAAATATTATAATTCTTTAAACAGCTAATGGAAACTTGTCTGAAGCAACACACCTTGATAGTTATATGGGACCAGAGCCACCTTCAGGAAGTGGAGACCATCGGTATGTCTTACAATTATGTAGTTTCAATATTGATAACATGGTGAATATTCATAAAGTAATTTTTAAACTTTCAAAGATATGTGTTTTTGTTATATCGCCAGCAAGTTCCACATATCGACTATCCGCGGTTAGACAAAACAAATAGAAATAATTTCAAAGCTCGCCAATTTGCTGACCAGTACGGATTAACATTAATCTCAGCGAACTATTTTATATGCCAAAGAGATTAAATTTGCGAGTGATGGTCTTTTTGCATTATCCCATGTAACGATAAATATAAATATGTACTTATTAAATTACAAATCAATACTACAAAGTGTCTAATTTCTTAAATTGATTAAAAAAAAATACAGTTAAACCTGTAAAGTTATTTCGTGGATATTTGTAATACTACGTATGTGACAATTTTTCGCAATACGATATTTATAAAGTTATGATCTATGGTTAATACGGAATATTAAGATTTGTCCACTGATCTAGTTTACACATTTTTGTTTATACGGGTATTTTTTTTTGAATCCGGATTAATTTTATATATACAGTAATAGCATTTTGGTCTGGATTCAAAAATAATTACCCATACTGTATGAAATAAGTCTAGCTAGTAAAATTGGTTTTCGGACGTCCTAAAAGTTTCGAGCTTACTTTAGAATGTCTTAAATTTCTAAAATATATTCTAAATTTCAAAAATAAATACAGTATTAACTAGTGTTGGCAGGCGAAACTAAGAGGTTTCGCCACAGATGAATGGCGAAACCTAGTTTCGACTTTCGCCAAAAAAAATTTTAGCTGCCCGATACGAAAGTATCGGAGCAGCTTTTTTGTCTCGAATCGATCACGGGGCTTTTGTAATTGTTTAAGAGATGCATTGTATTGATTTATCGTATGATTTCGCTTGATGCATTGTTTGATTGTTGTATGATTTCGTATGCGATTTTTGCGTCGTAATGACGTAGAATTTGCCATTAGTAATCGTTTTTAGCTTTTTAAGGGGAACGGGTTTTTTCCC